GTCCCATCACACTAGATCTATCTTAGCTGACCCAACACCCTGTCCCATCACACTAGATCTATTTTAGCTGACCCAACACCCTTCCCATCACACCAGGTCTATCTTAGCTGACCCAACACCCTGTCCAATCCCACTAGATGTATCCTAGCTGACCCAACACCCTGTCCCATCACACTAGGTCTATCTTAGCTGACCCAATGCTCTGTCCCATCACACTACATCTTTTTTAGCTCACCCAACATCCTTTCCATCACACTAGGTCTATCTTAGCTGACCCAACACCCTGTCCCATCACACTAGATCTATCTTAGCTGACCCAACACCCTGTCCCATCACACTAGATCTATTTTAGCTGACCCAACACCCTGTCCCATCACACTACATCTATTTTAGCTGACCCAACACCCTGTCCCATCACACTAGATCGATTTTATCTGACCCAATACCCTGTCCCACCCCACTGGATATATCCTAGCTGACCCAACATCCTGTTCCATCACACTAGGTCTATCCTAGCTGATCCAACACTCTGTCCCATCACACTAGATCTATCTTAGCTGACCCAACACCCTGTCCCATCACACTAGATCTATTTTAGCTGACCCAACACCCTTCCCATCACACCAGGTCTATCTTAGCTGACCCAACACCCTGTCCAATCCCACTAGATATATCCTAGCTGACCCAACACCCTGTCCCATTACACTAGGTCTATTTTAGCTGACCCAACACCCTGTCCCATCACACTAGGTCTATCTTAGCTGACCCAAAGCTCTGTCCCATCACACTAGATCTTTTTTAGCTGAAACCAACACCCTTCCCATCACACTAGGTCTATCTTAGCTGACCCAACACCCTGTCCCATCACACTAGATCTATTTTAGCTGACCCAACACCCTGTCCCATCACACTAGATCTATTTTAGCTGACCCAACACCCTGTCCCATCACACTAGATCTATATTAGCTGACCCAACATCCTGTCCCATCACACTAGGTCTATTTTAGCTGACCCAACACCCTGTCCCATCACACTAGGTCTATCTTAGCTGACCCAAAGCTCTGTCCCATCACACTAGATCTTTTTTTGCTGACCCAACACCCTGTCCCATCACACTAGGTCTATTTTAGCTGACCCAACACCCTGTCCCATCACACTAGATCTTTTTTTAGCTGACCCAACACCCTGTCCCATCACACTAGGTCTATCTTAGCTAACCCAACACCCTATCCCATCACACTAGATATATTCTAGCTGACCCAACACCATGTCCCATCACACTAGGTCTATCTTAGCTGACCCAACACTCTGTCCCATCACACTAGGTCTATCTTAGCTGACCCAACACCCTGTCCCATCATACTAGGTCTATCTTAGCTGACCCAGCACCCTGTCCCATCACACCAGGTCTATCTTAGCTGATCCAACACTCAGTCCCATCACACTTGGTCTATCTTAGCTGACCCAACACCCTGTCCCATCACACTAGGTCTATCTTATATGACCCAGCACCCTGTCCCATCACACCAGGTCTATCCTAGCTGACCCAACACCCTGTCCCATCACACTAGATCTATTTTAGCTGACCCAACACCCTTCCCATCACACCAGGTCTATCTTAGCTGACCCAACACCCTGTCCAATCCCACTAGATATATCCTAGCTGACCCAACACCCTGTCCCATTACACTAGGTCTATCTTAGCTGACCCAACGCCCTGTCCTATCACACTAGATCTTTTTTAGCTGACCC